CTGCCTTGCTCAGCCCCTGCAGGACCCGACTACCCTCAAGCTGGGCACCAACCTGGTTTTCACTCGGCTCTGGAAGATTCGACCATGACGATTGGGGCACGCATCACACTCGCTAAGTGTACGTTGCGATGCATAGCCATCTCTGATAACGCTTTACCACTGACCCTATGTATTCCATAGCAGTGCATTATAATGACACCGACATGCCCATTGACCGCACGTTCTCTCTCGACAAGAACCTTCCTTTGAGAATGCATCAAAATGGACAGGTGCGGAGTTGATGTTGTCCGCGTTCGGATTCCGAAGCGTCGCTTCCCATAATCTGCCGGCTTTGTTCTGTACCTGCTCAAAACTTTACACCCTGCCGGAGGTGATTGCTCGCGAACCTGACGGGTTCCCCGTATCCAAATTCAGAAACCAAAGTGGCGGCACCAGCGAGTTTTCCTGGCCACTCGGATCAGCACTGAGGTCCCCGGCGTACACAACGGCATCGGACTGCGAAAGGCAAACACCATCCGGCTTGACCACCATCATTGAACTCAAGTCCTGGTTCCAGCAACAGATGCAGCTGAAGCTGCCCCCCCTTCCCCCCCCAAAAAAAAACCTCGAAACAAAAACTGGATTCAAGCATACTGACTAAGCCCTCTCAGTATTCCTGTGGGGTATAGTGGCGTCCTTTACGCGATCGAACACAGGTACTGAGAAGCAACAAGCCTTGCAGCTTCGGTAAACTCATGGACCCTTAAAGGTATCTCTGAATAGCCGCCACACATGGTGTGCCCGGTTCAGCCTCGGACAGAAACCAAAGAGACCTCGTTGGACCATTCCAGCACGTGGATTTGCCCATGGCAAAGCTTCCAAATTGCTCCGCCTTTTCATGTTGATTCCAGATTCTTTTCCCACCAATCGTTACTTTCACCGCTTTTTCCCCCGCAATCTCCGTGCTTTTCCGAACCCCGCCGAGACTTTTGCGGGCCTTTTGGCATCTTTCCGCCATTTCCTTCGTCAAACTGGGTCCCTCGGGTCCCTCAGGTCCCTCGAAACCCATCGGTCCTTGGCCGCTTCCGGCCCGAGGGGTCCTGGAGGACTGTCGGAGACTCGGGGGGAGCCGACTCGGGGGGGAACAAAAGCCCCCCAGCCCCCCCCCCAGGGTTGTTGCAGGTTTTTTGTGGTTGGACTTGTGGGGGGGAGGGGAGAAAGGAAGGGACATGTTGCCAGGATGACATGACTGGAATGGTTTTACTTTCATCTGCGCCCGCAAGAGGGCCGTCCTTCTGCAAAGCGACATCCACGGCGCTGTTGCACATGTTGCACACACCTTTGGAAGCTGGAGGTGAACTCGGTTGTGATGGGTTAGTCAACTTCTGTAAATACCCCCCCTAGAGGTTCTTCAAACCGGAAGCAATAGGAACTTAAATGACTTGTTTGTGCCAGTAAGAGGATCTGGAAAGTCGAGCGCGCACAACCAGTTTGAACATGGACATCAACACGCTCCCAGGATCGCCAGCCAATGCTCCATCTGACCTTTGATGCTTTCGGCTCTTAATGCTCTGAAAACAGAACCCTCCAACATACAAAGCGAATCTGCTCACCCAGCGCAATGTGTATGTGTGTGTGTGTGTGTGAGACTGTGTCTGCCAAACACGCTACACTACTCCAATATCAAGCCTGACAAAACCTGGCCGGTCTGGGAGTCAAACAGCAAACAGTCTACAGTCATTCCTGACAAACGCGGCCCACGTGAAACCCAGCAAAAGCCGCTCAAAGCGAGGCGCCGTCATACAGGACGATGGGTCTTGAATCTGCGGCAAAAAGCTCGCTGAAAGTGGCCTGCGCCTGGGATGGACGCTGAACCCCCCCCCCCAGGCAACTCTCACAATCCTCTACACAAACGGACTGCTGCAACAGTGTGGTGCCACGTTGCTTCCAACTTCTGGTCACCTGCTTTATCTTCCTCGTACATTTTTCGGATCCGGGCCAGCCAGCTTTGAGAACGACTTGGCGAGTCGGCGTATTTTGGCCTGATGCCTGATGTACTCCCTTCTTAACCAGCCCTCTCTCACCACCTTCGCTCACATCCCTCACCAGCCTCCCAGCACTTTGGACACTTGCACAATTCAGCCCTGCATGACATGGGGATGCCTCATTCCGCAAATAGGAGACAACCTTCCAGGCTGGCACGCACCATCTTCTCCCATGAAGGATTGCCCACAGACCCAAATATCACCAGAAACTCTTGACGCTGATCCGTGAATTCATATACCCGTAAATATATACTATAAATATCAATACATATATATATATATATACACATATATCTTTATATACATATAATATGTATGCAGAATATATGTTGGTACATGTACAATATACCTCCGCATTTCGCCTTTCCCCACGTCCCGCCGGAGGCGCGCTCTCCCTTGTGGCCCGCAGCGCCGTGCGGGCAGCTCTTGACGGTGCCAGAAAGGCGCAAGACGCGCCCAGGGTGAGGATCAGCCGCAGGAGCCGCCGAGAAACCATGGCCGCTGGGCGCTTCCGGGGGAAAACTCTGCTCCACGTCTTTATATAGCTGAAACAACATGTTTCTGACTTCAAAGTGGTCGACGTTCCGAACTATTTCAGCTCAGCTTCTGCCGATTTCTGCCGTTTTGGGGTCGAGGCAAAAGAGTCGACAAGCGAGCAAGAAGAGGCTGCGCAGACCAGCTAGCGCAGGGAGTGCGCAATGGTGGACCTGGGCGACGCCGACCACCTACCCAGCCGATGAGGACGTGAGAAGGGACAGCTGCAGACACCATCGGCTGACTAAGCAAGGATCAAAGTTTGGATCTGCCAGTCAGCAGTGAGGCTGACTGAGATCTCTGTCCGTATCGGTGTGAATATGCAAGACTTGTTGATCTCCGCAGCAAGTTTGACACCAGTACAAGTAGCAGGGCTTGTTTTCTCACACGCTTGCTGCGCTGGACGCTGTCGCTGCTCACTTGTTTCCACTTGTCTCTCTTCCCACTTGTTTCCATTTGTCTCCCCACTTGTTGGGTTAACACTCGTGTAAAAAGTAACAACATAGAGCGATTGAGATGAGACTGTCTGAATTGGAACTTCAAACAGAGGTGAACTAATGAACCAATTAGGCAAGCCGAGGGTGTGCATCATGACACACGACATTTCGCTTGCCATTTTGGCTCAAGGCTAACTTTTTGACCTTACCGACCATCCTCCCGATGCATACATGCCGAACAGCGCGTCACCTAGAACAGCCTCAGAATCAAGTGATGCGATCACCCGCTATGAAACACGCAACAAAACGAAACGCGCCAAATTAATTTTGAGAAGCAATGAGAACGCACCATACCCGATCTTTCCATTGAACCCCGCCATTTGGCAAACGTGGGGCAGCTGCTGATAGGCTATATAAGCCCCGGAACGTGGAACTCCCTGCACATTGAACAACCAATCGCATCAAGCCTATATGTAGCCAAAAGCTTGCACAAATTCACTGCTTCCTCTGCTTGTTGTCATTACAGTAATTGTTTGTTCGTGACTGGCGCAGGCTCTCTGCCCCACTTGCATGCAAAAGGCTTCGGCAGTCATGTTTAAAAAACAAGGCAAAATGCAAGTGATAAGGCACAGCCATGGTCAGGTTGCAAGTTGCTCACATGAATGGGCTGCCACACTTTTTCCTGTTTAAAACTGTGACTGTCTGCCTGTGGTCCATCTCAGCTGACTCAGCTGACAACTCTTCATGGAGCTGCGATCATCAGCCCCCTCGCCACCAAGACTGTTTGCTGAACCATGTCGTCACTGTCGACACAGCAACCTTTGTTTTTTCATCCTCCCGGAAGTCTTTCAGCAAGCGCTCCGTGAATTGGGGATCCTCAGCATTCTTCAGCAGCGCGCTATTCTTCTTCAACTTCTCGAGGACGGGCACCCGGTTCTGCCAGCCTGGCTTCTGGTTGCTCTTCTCATTTTCGATCATGATTTGGATGTACTCTTCGCTGGGCAGCACACTCGGGCGCATTGCAATCTCTGCAAGGCGCTCCTTGCACTTCTTCGTGCGCACCAAAAGATCTGCCAATAATTTGTGGTTTCTGACAAGCTCATCCAAGATACCCTGCAGGATCTTTTGAACGTTTGCCTTGCCCTCATTGGCGCTGTCATATTTGGCCTTCAACTCGTCAAGAGTTTGCTTCTGTGTCTCGCTGTACCACTCAAGAATGTATGGCAAGTTCTGGTGCTTGCTCCAGTGGCACTTTCGCGGGCATGCTGTGCAGTACCCATTCGACATGACACAACACTGTGATTTGGAGCTGTCATTCGCATAGACACAATTCTCGTGACAGGTTCTATCGCAAGTTGTGCATGTTGTGGTGTTCTGCCCAGCGCGGACCGGCTTCTTGCGGAACTTGGGCACCTGAATCGTGGTCGTGAAATCCTTGGTGCTCTTCATTGTGTCATCGAACGCAGCAAGTTGCTCAGACTGCTGGAGCGAATTTGCTGTGCTCAACACGAGCTGAACTTGGGGGCCCAAACTCTCCAACGTAGCTTCCAAATGCTCCCTCTCATCCATGACCTGCTTGGTGAGGTGCAGGCTCTTTGGCGTGAATGCAAGGAGGGCGTGAAAGAAGTCTGCCATGCTCTTCTTGCCCATGTCCCAGAACATCTTGCTGAGAGCATCTGATTGTTGGGTGGGCTCGACAAAGAGGGCAGAGTTGTTGAACTTACAACACGTTGTCATCGGGATGCCACCGGATCTTACTGCCTCGAGAGCTTGTGGCTTTTCTCCATCCGCGAATGTGAAGCACACGGCTATGTTCTGCTCAATGTCTTTGCCAAAGAGGCCCAGGATAGCATCCCAAACGTACTGCTGGGACTCCGTCAAACGCGCTGCGGATGCTTGAGTGACGAAACACACACCGGTTAAGCAAGCCACATGCTGGCCAAACTCGCGAAAGAATTGCTTCATCTGGTCTACGATCTTGGTGTCGAAATGAAGTCCACGCGTGTCACCAAAGCCAGGCGTGTCGATAATCGTCAAGTTGCTCTTCACTGGGCCGCCTTTGATTGCAGGAATCTTGTATGCAGTGACCATGTCGGTTTGACTGGCAGCAGCTCCTGCGCAAAGCAAAGCTCCCCGGCGGTCCGCAAAGCAGCCTCTTTTCTTGACGAAGGTATTGCTTTAAACTCACATGTTTAGCAAGAAAAAATGTTTGTTTTTCAGGAAAAAGTTAAAGGAGCGGATGATCTCACATGGGTATTTTCAGTAAGTGTTTGAATGGAACGTTGGCTGCAAGGCGTACTGGCTACAAGTAACATACAGAGTGTCTGTGCGCGGGCATGTGCTCGCGCGTACGCTTTGCGATGTGCGTGCGCCCGTGCGTTCTGATGGCTAGCTCGAAAGCATGTGCTACCCAGCTATAACGTTATATACCATGGAAGAAGTTCACCCAGTCCGAGCCCCCCTAGACAGCTCCAACGCGCTGCGCGTGCAAAGAAATCAAACACACAGGTGCAGAAAGTGCTGCGCCTGCCACGCAAACCAACCACGCAAGGGCGCAAAGTGCGACGCCCGCGACGCACCAACAACGCGCGCTCGACCGCTCCAGCTTGCCAAGGGAGTAGTTGCCAAAAGAATTGAAAAGGCTTGCAGGGTGTATAGGGTACGACCACCGCCTGCGTTGCTCCCCCACGAAAAGTCCCATCTGCCTAACACACAAGGTGTGTAGCTCTGCTGCTCACCAGGGGAAAAGTATGTTTGCCCCCAAACTTATCGAATTGAGTCTTCTTGAGGCCCAACTAAATGCCATATTCTCCAAGTTGACGCTTCACGAAAGTGGGTGACGAAGTCACGCCCCCGCGCAGGCCTGCTTTCAGGGATGCCTGTGTCACTGTCTCGTTCTCGTTGACCACTTTGAAACGGACCTTCTCGCCGAACTTGATGGCTAGGAGATAGTTCAGAATTCCATCTATCTGTGTAGATTTGCCAGCACTGGTTTGACCTACCACAAGAATGGTAATGTCCTTGCTGACATACTCGTCCACATAGTGGCTTGGAATCTGCGCTTCCATGACTCGCAACGCACAAGGATGAGTAGGAGGCGAAATGTCGTCTTGGAACTTGAACTGGTAACCTAGGCATGATTTCATCGCAGGCAGCTTGAACATTTACACGAGTGAGACCGGCGCGCTTTTCGGCAACAAGGGCAAAGGACACGTGAATCACCCTCAGGTTGTTGCTGTGCTCCCCGAGCGGAGGAAATTCTCTTGCAAGCATCCCTCCAATGGATGGAGCAGCTTCCGCTCTGCTCAGTTCCTCCCGAACAAGCTCGACAAGTTTCTGCCTGTCCTCTTTGGCAAAGCCGCAGTCCACAGCCACCTCAACAAGATCTTTCGAAGCCATGGCAGTGAGCAGCTTGACCTCGGCATAATCTGGATTCTGGCGGCACATCTTCTGGGCATACTTCTCCAAGCTCTTCTGCGAAAGGAAGCATAGCAGCTCGGACGAGGGCTCTACCTCGGTCAAATAGCCTGATGCAGAAAGCACTGCTGCCAGCCTTGATTTAAGACTGTCAAGCAGCTGCCAAAACTTCGGGCGATCATCCTTCTTCATGCCTGCTTCTGATGCTGCATCGATCAGGTCATCCTGATCCATTCCCAGCAGCTTCTGCACATCTGGGAAATGACCCTTATACTGACACAGGCCGCTTTCTTCCAGAAGCCGCACAAACTCCATGCTGGCCGGGTCGTCATAAAATCCTGCTCGCACGCTGTCCACAACTTGAAGCAGCTTTTTGCGATCATCCTTCTTCATGCCTGCATCTGTTGCTGCATCGATCAGGTCATTCTGATCCATTCCCAGCAGCTTCTGCACATCTGGGAAATGACCCTTATACTGACACAGGCCGCTTTCTTCCAGAAGCCGCACAAACTCCATGCTGGCCGGGTCGTCATAAAATCCTGCTCGCACGCTGTCCACAACTTGAAGCAGCTTTTTGCGATCATCCTTCTTCATGCCTGCATCTGTTGCTGCATCGATCAGGTCATCCTGATCCATTCCCAGCAGCTTCTGCACATCTGGGAAATGACCCTTATACTGACACAGGCCGCTTTCTTCCAGACGCCGCACAAACTCCATGCTGGCCGGGTCGTCATAAAATCCTGCTCGCACGCTGTCCACAACTTGAAGCAGCTTTTTGCGATCATCCTTCTTCATGCCTGCATCTGTTGCTGCATCGATCAGGTCATCCTGATCCATTCCCAGCAGCTTCTGCACATCTGGGAAATGACCCTTATACTGACACAGGCCGCTTTCTTCCAGACGCCGCACAAACTCCATGCTGGCCGGGTCGTCATAAAATCCTGCTCGCACGCTGTCCACAACTTGAAGCAGCTTTTTGCGATCATCCTTCTTCATGCCTGCATCTGTTGCTGCATCGATCAGGTCATCCTGATCCATTCCCAGCAGCTTCTGCACATCTGACACAGGCCGCTTTCTTCCAGAAGCCGCACAAACTCAGCGCCAACCGAGTCCTGACAACAGCCAACCCTCCTACAGCGAAGCACAAACTAACTGGCTTAGCATGCGTCCTCCGTTTGCCCCGTGCTGGGTTCCTCATCAACCTTCATCCAATGCTCCTCAAAGCGGGCGCGCAGCAAGCAGAATACGGCAGTTGTTTTGAAGGGTCAATGACAGGGCATGATCAAGGTCCTTGTCATCACTGTCCACGTGAGACAGTGATGTGGAACCGCCATCAGCAGACTCTGCCAAACCTGCCAACATCCGCTTGACGCTTTTCCCGAGCGGGCACGGAATGTTGATCAGGCAATCTGAGGCACATGCCTGGTTTCAGCATGTCGCAAGGCTGCTGTGATGCTATTGAAACACATCGAATGGCAATTGAGCCAACAGATCTGCAGACTAAACCGTCCCAACCACTGCACAAAATACAAGCAAAATAAAACGGCCAAATGGCAAAACACAAGCATTGCAAACATACTCCCGTTGCAAAAGGAGGCAATTCGGATGTGGGAGGGTTGCGGCAAACCTTGTGAGGCAGTTATGCTCAGGAGTCGTCTTGGACGGTCTAGCATCAATGCCCCGTAACTTGCCCTAGATGCTGAAGCGCTGGGTGGCTAGACATTGGGGGAAAATTATTCGACTCCTTGAAGGGTTCGTTTGTGACGCGCGGCGTGTGGCGGCGCACGCCTAGCCACGCCGCATGGCGAGAGCCAACTGCAAGGCACAAACTCTGCTGGCAAACCCTGCGTGCAAATAAGTTGCGACGAGCCAAGCTTACTTGCGTCCAGCAAAACATCTGATGGTCTTTCGCCCGGGCCCTTCGGGTTTGTTTCCGCCACTAAGCCAGACTCAGGACCAAGGAAGCAGGACGATGGTCTTTGTGAACCCGCCGGCCGCACCTTTTGAGAGCAACTGTGAGGCTACCTCCTGCCACTTCCGGACAGGCACTACATGCAATCCAAGATTCCACCATGCATCCGAGAGCTTGAACTGGGTTCTGAAAACGGATCCCAGTTTTCGAGGGACATGCTTGAAGTCTTAAAGGTAGAGGAGACGGCGAGAGTCTCAGGCCACCAGCGCCCGCGTTCCCTGTGAAACTTGGGCCTGCTGACTGTTCCATCTCGGCTACTCAAGCTGGACGCAGCCTTCCTGTGACAGGCGTTCGGTAAGCTCGAAAAGCTTCGGCAGGAAGTGGCCCTGGGCACACAGGCGATCAAAGGGAGCCAGCCGGTTGCTAGCCCCGCCCAGCTGCCTTTCGGGGCATGGCGAACACCGCTTCCTGGATGGTGGCCTCGCAACGGACGCTCTGAGCGACAATTGGAGTGCAACAAGAAGCAAGTGACCAGTCCAACTTTTCTTGACACGGCATGAACCCGATATGGCAAGCATTCGGTGTTGGCGCACCATTTCCTCTTCAAGGAACTTGGCAACCACCTGGCAACTCCATCAGGCAAAGTGCTTCACAACTCTTGAACCCTCAAAGCAGGCACAAATACGAATGGTTACTCGAAAAATATCGCACGGCCTCAGCAGCATCTGGCAGCTCCAACCTGCAAAGCAGTCCGCACGCGAAATCGGCCGGTAAAGGGTGCAACCTTGAATTGCCTGTCTGCTCAGATCTGAGTTTCGGTCGATGCCAGCATGATCTTCCGCTTTGCCGCGAAATAGACCTGCAATTGACTTTGTAACATCCTGCAAACCATTTGTTTCTAGAACTAAGACAGAGTCACGCGCATACCACGCCGCCTCCGCCGGCTCCTTGTACCAAGCCGTGGCCTCTCGGGGTGTGTCTCGCAGCTTCGGACACCGGAAAACAAAAACAAAAAAAACGTGTCGCCTTCGCTATGAGGGTGAGGTACTGGAACAGGAGCTCACGGTTCTCCTCGCTTTCCAACCTCACTGAGGCGTGGCCCGCACAAATGCACCTTCCAAGTACAACAGAAATTCAGATCTCGGGACAAAATGTCCGCCTGCAAGCACAACTTCGCACTGGGGAAGCGGCCAAGACAGCATGCCCGCGTCAGTCAACTTCTCCATCAGAGCCTTTCAGGGATCAAATCCGAATCATGATTGTCGAGCAGTTCCTGCTTTTCTTTCTTTTCGCTCTTATCAGCAGTCTGCGGCATGGTTGATCAACAAGGCACAGCTAGTTCTGCTCTGTTTGTGAGCCAGGTTCCAAGGTGCATGTTTTAGCTATCTGGACCTTGCCAATACAAGAGCATTGAAAAGTCAGGAAGAGGCAATGTGGTCGCATCGTCCAGGGTAAAGCGAAGGATTGCGGGCAGCGAAGGATCATCCTCTCTTCGTGGAAGAATGGGAGCAGCACCAAACATGGTATGCCAAATGAGTTCCTTAGATGCACAGAGTAGTCAACGCCTTTCATACACACGAGATTACGCTACGCACAAGAAAGCCATCACCCACATCAAAACCGAGTCTCGTAGAGGTAACACAGCCTCATTCCCGAAGTCGTGTTTGTCCTTTCGCCTTTACTCCGTTGGCAATCGCCAAATTCGTGGAGCCCAATTTGCAACAGCCGCGCGGCGGTGCGGAAGAAGCCGAGGCCTCGTCTTTGGATGCGGCTCCGATGGACCAGGAATTGACTGCAGCAGTAGCTGGCTACGAGGCCTGGCTGCAACCCCAGGTGTCGTTGCAGGGACTCCAAGCAGGGCGTCCAGTAAATGAGATGACGATCGTTGTTGAGATGCAGGAAGAGATCAGGAGCCAAGGTGCTGAGAGTGCCTTGGCTGATCATCTTGAGCACCAGGTTCAGGTATCCCACGTGCAAGTGCCGAGGGGCATCATCCTGAAGGAATATGGTCCATTCCGCCAGGTCGTGAAAGTGCTGCTCAAGGTGCAGCAGGTATCCACCACACTCATCGCTCGAGTGACTCCCATTGTCCAACCACGATGCGGCAATGCACTGATATGACTCACAAAAAGCGAGATCCTCAGGTTCAGCGCACTTCACGTAGACCAAAATGCGGCGATCTGTGGGCAACGCCAAGCTGCGGATCCAGGTAAGGCTTCCCTTGCAAAACACGACCACGAGGTCAAGCGAGCTTGGTGACGTCTGAGCATGAGCCAAGGCCGACCTGGTCCTGGCGGCGGTGATTGGCCACGTGCGCATCATGATGTGGTAGTGGTCCATATCCTCGGTTGCGAAATCTGCTCCCCTGCTAAAAGTTGAACTTCTAGTGGTTTCATGGAAACCCCATTAGTTGGCAACAAGTTAAAGTCCTAACATCTCTTGGCAAAATGCACCAAAGTATCGTATGTGCCGTTCGGCGCCGCGGCCATCCGCCTTAGCCAACTGTTGGCCTTGTGCCTCTGCGCCTGGGCCCAGAGGTCGCCTGGGCTCAACGAGAAGCGCAGCTCAGCATGCAGGAAGAGGGAGGTGAGCAGCATGCCCGGGCAGATCTCCAACATCTCCTCCTGCTCCGTGCTCTGCAAAGCTGCCACCCAAAGCACCTCTTCCACTGGCGGAGCTTTATTTCCATGGTAGAAGTCTAACAACTTCTCTTGCAACTCCTGCGCCACCAAGACTCCCTGGAAGCACTGCTGCCCATCGGCTTGGTCAGCCGCTGAATTCACCGCCTTGGCGCTGGTCTTCTTGGCATAGCGGTTGCCATTCAAATTTTTGGCCCATGGCACACAAAGAGTGATGGAGGAGCGAAAGTTCCACAAGCAGCCCAGAAAGTGCTCCCTTGGCGTGTCCTCCAGTCTTGTTTGAGCAAATCTCTCGCAAATGCAAGTGGCCACCACTGCATGTCGCAGGCCAACGGGCATGAGACAAATGCCTCGACGCTTGCAAAGCCACTCATTTGCAATCCCATTGCACGTGAGTTCGCTGTGCGCATCTTGGGATTGGCCAGCCTGGATGATACACGCAGCAACAAAGAGACTTCTCCAGGTTTGCACCCTTTGGTCTGCGTGCTTTTCAAAGTAAGTCGTGCTTTGCCAACCAACACCCTGTGCTTTCTTGGTGCTACTTGGTCGTTGGTCATGTCAGGATCTTGTGCTCATCTCTTGACAGAAAATTGCACAACGCACATCCGCATCACACCCATGTTTCCTCTCTCACACACAAACGCATGGTGGGAGTGACTTGCAAGATAGGCAAACACAGAACTAACAAAGGGTGTCTTTTTTGAGGGGACCCCTTTCTGGTGGTTTTGAAGGGAAACCAACAGGAACGTTTGGTTGGCCCAACCTCACAAACGAGCCACTAACCGCATGAGCAATCGAGCTCCCGCCTCATCCAGGCGCTCCAAAGGCTCCAGACTCCTGCGGCTCGCTCCGGCTGCCCTGTATGTCAAACCGTGTGCGTTGAGCTGGAGTTTCCTCTCAGAGCAAGAGAGGCTCAACGTAGGTTCGTCTTCCAATCGAGCTTCCTTTGGCTTCTTTTGTAAGCACATTTTCTTGTTGCGTCCGTGCGAGCGAAGCCGAATCCGAATTGACACTGGGGAGCACATTCATGCCATCCTACAAGCTTCTGGTGACCGAGCTTGGTTGCTTGGCTGCCTCAACAAGAAGTGGCTTTCCTGGTAACACCGGTATGATGTGTGAACATGTTTGCATAGAGCCTTCCTGGAATATTGACTTGACTTGTGAACCTTGCAGAACAACGAATAAACACCTGTGAACATAAAACACATCAAACAAAACAGTAATACTTGCTTTTCATTTGCTGTCGATCCATCCTTCACAGTGAGACGGGCAACATGGCAGCCCACTCTCAGCCTGCTTCTCACTCAGATTCGTAAAAGGTGTCTGCATCAAAGCAATGTTCTGTTGAGAAATATTTGAGAATCAATGTTCGTCAGCGGCAAGGATTATGAAGTCAAGGTACCCTGTGTCCAACAAACATTGCTGACAAGAGCTGGCTTCAAAACCTGCCGGGGCTCTTCCTTTTCTTCGCCCTCCTCTCACCTTTGTCCATGAGTTGACCCCATCACGGTAGCGACCTCGCTCGGACCCCTCAAAGGCCTGGAAACCCAGGCCCACCGCCCATCCCGGGCGCACCCTTGGCGGAGCAGCTCCCGCTCGCGATCCTCCCGGAGCTGTCGCTCTGAGGCATTGCACCTGAAGGCGGCTGGGCCAAGGGGCGAAAGCGGCATGACCCTCTGGGATCCCGAAGCCGAAATCCAAGGGACACCATTTCGCTTCGGCGATCATCCGATAAAAATGGAACGATACAGAGATTAGCATGGCCCCTGCGCAAGGATGACACGCATAAATCGACAAGGGACATCATTTCAAGGGAAACCACTTGTCATAGAGGACTGTTTTCATCTCAAAAGACCCCGGTCCACTTCTATGACTCAAGAGAGGGTGCCTGTTTGGTTCAGGTGTGCTTGAAACCATGCCCACTCTTCTTTGGGATTGGAGTTGGAGTTGGGATCAACGTGCTCGCATCACAAAGCGCTGCTGAATTTGAAACGAATCCTCCTATCAAAGCTTTGGCAAGAGACTCTGCCGAGTTTCCTTAGACCCCAGCAAAGGTTGCGAACTGTTGTTGCTCTCATTCACAACTTTGCATGCAGTAGCTGCAACTGAATCAGGCAGGTCTTGGGTATGACACGCACATCGTGCCCTATGCATCTCGTCTCTGTACCCTTGACCTGTCTTCTGGGTCGCAAACTCGTACGACAGCATCTGGGCCGCTTCAAATTGTGCCAAGTCCTGCCAGGAGCTAACATGATAGAGAAAGAGAGAACAACAACTTGAAGAGTGCGTATAAACTGGTGGGATATACAAATTGGAACATGATAGACAAATTGTGCGTATCAAAGAGTGCGATAAACTGCTGTTTGATACGCACACCACGGAAACGCTGATCTGGGACAACAAAAACATTGTCTTTGAAAGCCGACACCACCAAAGCACAAACTTGCCTCCTTGGCCTCATTCTCAGCCTCGTCTTGTGGCTCTTCTGCATCCTGCAAGCCAAGCCCCCCACACTTGGGCTGAATTCTTTGGCTAAGAATTCCTACATCTCTGTTATAATATAATGGCAACGCTATTCTTCCACTCCCTGACAATCCTTCGTTGGTCCTATTTGCCTACATTAACGAACGTTAGTGTATAACACGTGCATTTGATCGATTCTTGAAATGTTAGCAAATTTTGGCTACATTAACGGACTCCGATTTTCGACAAACAGGGCCCCGATTTTCGACAAAAAAAGGCCCGGTTTTCGACAAAAAGGGGCCAACTTTTCGACAAACAGGGTCCCGATTTTCGACAAAAAAGGGGCCTGATGTTCGACAAACAGGGCCCTGATGTTCGACAAACAACGGCGCTTGTAAGAGATTCGGCGCATGCAACTATAGGTCAGGGTTGGCAATGTAGCTCCGGAGAGCATTGAAGGTGGGCGCAGGGAGCCTGCAGTATCGGACGCCGTTATCATTCTCTTCATCCCGAGAACATAGTTTGAATGTGTGTGTGTGTTCTTGTAGATTGTTTTGCCGGTTGGCAATTTTTGTGTATTCCTTGAGTAGTACATCCAAACCGTGCCCTAGATCTTCAGCATGTGTGCTTGCTTTCTTTTTAAACACGCGCGTCGCATAACATTGTACGTTTTGCGTTGAGTGCTAATCGATGGAACGGTTGTGCCGACGATTGGTTGCTGAGCACGGTAGGATTGAGGCAACGTAAGCAGCCGGAGGACTTTGGACGGCAAGGGCCCAGAAAGGCTTTGGAGCGCCCGATGCGTCTTCCAGCCAGAAAGGCTATGGAGGGCCCAGTGCTTCTGCTGGTCAATAGGTGCTGGGCTTGGTCCGTTCTTCAGTGAACAGGCGCGCTGCTGCTAGGAAGGGCGGGGTTCCTGACGGCTGAAAGTTCTCTTTGTCAAAAGTGAATGCTCAATCAAATTTGTGCAAATATGTTGCGATGGCCTGATATATTCCAACATTAATATTTTGCTTGTTCTCAAACAACACATCGACCCAAAACAGTAATTGATGGCGAGCAACCTCTCTGCGGAAGATGCTGGTTGTGGTAATTCCCGCGAAACAGCTGGAGCTTTATCAAAGCCCCCGTAAACCGATCCCTCCTACTGTTCCACAGCAACGTCCAACATGGTCCGGATCCCCAGCTGAGCACATGGCGATGACTTGAACTATCTGCGCTGGCCGACGGAACCGAGGGGTCAACCTGTCAAGCTTATTGGGGTTCTGTTGAAGCAAGTGCTTGTTGAGCAGCCAAAAAAGCTCCCGCATGCTTGTTGAAGATGTGTTTCTTGCTCCGGCTATTTGTGTAACTCTGTGATATTGCCCTCCGTACTCCAGATGGGCACGCGCAAGGCCCTGGCCCTCCGATTCCAGACAGTTGCTTTTGCTCCGAAGCGCTGCACCCTCGCAGAGTTTCAGCAGTAGAGAGCCATGAGCAAAGAAGGGGCGCTTCCCGGGGTAAATTCGTCCATGATTCGTCTGAGTAAGGAGGGGTTCAAACGTTCCACAACTCCAAGTTTGGCTGTTCACTTGTCACGTGGCAATTCCTTTTCCCCATCCAGGAAGTTCAGGGTGTGGCTACGTGTGTTTCAAGGGGCTAGCAAGATACCTGCTGTCAAATAATCACGCACACCGTGCTCTGTTCCAAACATCGAGCTCTAAGGCTTTCCTGGAGTGCATTTGGGTTGCGCACTCGTCTCTTCTTGTCCGTTGAGTCTGCATGTCCCGCCAGAATAGAAGCGCTGCTGTTATTTGGCAGATCCACTGGCGAAAACTTGCCTTGCGGAAGGCCCACTCAAGCCCTCAAACTTTGCCTGGCGATGACTTAAGCCCTTCTCCGGAAAGCTTGGGGGCACGAGCAGGCAGTTGCCCTCATCAGCGTGGGTTTTATTTGACGTGACCCAGCCTTCAGATGTTGGCCCTACACTAAGCATGCCAAACACAGCGATCCCTTTTGTCCTTGCCGGGAGAACCTGCAGGCCATTTGCCTTCTTACTCCGCTCTTGATCATGACGCAATGATGCAGAGCAAAATCCGACATGTGTTAAACAAAGCCCATAACTCTAGGCAACTAAAGGGAAATGCGCGGAGACGAAAAGGCCGTCCCGCTCCCTTAAGTGAAGCGCGAGGGCGCCCTAGCAAAACTTGCTCCGAGCAGCGCAATCCGCTTTGGCGCTATGCGCAAGCGCAGTCAACTGCGTCACAGGAGGAAAGGGGGCAAACACTGAACCTTAAGGTTTCCCGGCGTCTGCAACTGGGGGGAGAGGGCAAACATCAGACCTTCAAGCTTTGCCACAAAGGACAGGGTTTCCCGAGGAGTGCTCCAGAGACTGTTGTGCAACAAAGGAAAGTTGCAAACATCAGACCTTGGAGCACGTCGTGCCATGTGCTGCATCGAGGGCAAGGAGGCAAACATCAGACCTTGAGGTTTTCTTTGAGGGGCATCGGGTTTTGTGCTGCAACCTGGAAAAGGGAGCAAGGTCAAGACTTAAGGTTTTTCGGGGGACACATCACTTGATTCTCGCATCCCTTTGATAGCAGCAAACGTGGGACATGGAAGTTTCCCGGGGAGCGCATTGGAATGTGTCCGGTTTTGTCTCTCACTGTGTGAGGGGGGCAAGCGTCCGACCGAAAAGTCCTCCCCTGCTCTGCATCTACTAACCAAAACAATCATCAGACCTCAAGGGTTTTCTTGCCAGACACATGGCTTCTCTTCTGCATCATGGCCAGCGGGGCAAACCCCAAACCTTAAGACTCTTGCGGGACACATCGATTATGCCCTGCATCAAATTGCGAAGCTTCAGGTTTAGAGAAGAAAGGGGGCAAACCTCAAACCTTCAAGGTTCTCGCAAGGAACACGCCAAGCAGTATGTTTTGCATCAAGAAAGGAAACGTAGCCTTCCGGTTTCCCCGGGGAAACACATCAGATCGTGCTCTGCATCAAGGGAAAGGGGGCAAGGGTCAGATTTGCTGGGGAGGCGCCTACCTTAGCGCATTTTGACAGGAGGCCCGCGGAAGAAAGGGCTTCCACCTTGAAGAAGATCAACAAGAGGGTTCAAAAAGACATGCGATGTTGCCCCGGCAAGAGCTGGTCGTTTCATATATGTGGGGCCAACAATGTTCACACGATGGCTTCCTTGTGGCTACCTGCAAGCCAAGTCCGAAAATTGGCACCCTCCCAGCGGGCTATGAGTCCAAGCCTCAGAGCGGCCCGCCTTGCAGCAAGGTTCCGGCGGGCCAACAGATAGGCGGCATACGGGCTGCGCCGAATGACCGGACGCGGCCCGTAACGCTCCGTAACGGTCCGTTGTGCTATTTTCCGATAACGCCACTCTTTTTAATGGCATTTTTATGTATTCGTTACGCTCCGTTACGCTCCGTTACGCTGCGTTATGGGCCATCCTTGTGTAAAAACAGACAATCACGTTCCTCGGGCTCACCGGGGCTTGCGAATTTGCAAACTCTTTGGAAAATGATGGCCCATAACGCAGCGTAACGGAGCGTAACGGAGCGTAACGAATACATAAAAATGCCATTAAAAAGAGTGGCGTTATCGGAAAATAGCACAACGGACCGTTACGGAGCGTTACGGGCCGCGTCCGGTCATTCGGCGCAGCCCGTATGCCGCCTATCTGTTGGCCCGCCGGAACCTTGCTGCAAGGCGGGCCGCTCTGAGGCTTGGACTCATAGCCCGCTGGGAGGGTGCCAATTTTCGGACTTGGCTTGCAGGTAGCCACAAGGAAGCCATCGTGTGAACATTGTTGGCCCCACATATATGAAACGACCAGCTCTTGCCGGGGCAACATCGCATGTCTTTTTGAACCCTCTTGTTGATCTTCTTCAAGGTGGAAGCCCTTTCTTCCGCGGGCCTCCTGTCAAAATGCGCTAAGGTAGGCGCCTCCCCAGCAAATCTGACCCTTGCCCCCTTTCCCTTGATGCAGAGCACGATCTGATGTGTTTCCCCGGGGAAACCGGAAGGCTACGTTTCCTTTCTTGATGCAAAACATACTGCTTGGCGTGTTCCTTGCGAGAACCTTGAAGGTTTGAGGTTTGCCCCCTTTCCTTTTCTAAACCTGAAGCTTCGGAATTTGATGCAGGCATAATCGATGTGTCCCGGGAAAGTCTTAAGGGTTAGGGCTTGATGCAGAAGATAAGCCAATGTGTCTGCGGGGAAACTGTTGAGGACGTTTGGGTCGGATGCTTGCCTCCCTGACAAAGTGCGAGACGCCACATTCCGATGCTCTCCCCGAAAAACTTCTATGTCTCACGTTTGCTGCTATCAAAGGGATGCGAGAATCCAGTGATGTGTCCCTTTGCTGCTCCCTTTTCCAGGTTGCAGCACAAAACCCGATGCCCCTCAAAGAAAACCTCAAGGTCTGATGTTTGCCTCCTTGCCCTCGATGCAGCACATGGCACGACGTGCTCCAGGGTTTGATGTTTGCAACTTTCCTTTGTTGCACAACAGTCTCTGGCGCACTCCTCGGGAAACCCTGTCCTTTGTGGCAAAGCTTGAAGGTCTGATGTTTGCCCTCTCCCCCCTGTTGCAGACCCTGGGAAACCTTAAGGTTCAGTGTTTGCCCCCTTTCCTCCTGTGACGCAGTTGACTGCGCTTGCGCATAGCGTCAAAGCGGATTGCGCTGCTCGGAGCAAGTTTTCTAGGGCGCCCTCGCGTTTGACTTAAGGGAGCGGGACGGCCTTTTCGTCTCTGCGCATTTCCCTTCAGTTGCCTAGAGTTATGGGCTTTGTTTAACACACGTCGGATTTTGCTCTGCATCATTGTGTCATGATCAAGAGTGGAGTAAGAAGGCAAATGGCCTGCAGGTTCTCCCGGCAAGGACAAAAGGGATCGCTGTGTTTGGCATGCTCAGTGTAGGGCCAACATCTGAAGGCTGGGTCACGTCAAATAAAACCCACGCTGATGAGGGCCACTGCCTGCTCGTGCCCCCAAGCTTTCCGCAGAAGGGCTTAAGTCATCGTTAGGCAAAGTTTGAGGGCTTGAGTGGGCCTTCCGCAAGGCAAGTTTTCGCCAGTGGATCTGCCAAATAACAGCAGCGCTTCTATTCTGGCGGGACATGCAGACTCAACGGACAAGAAGAGATGAGTGCGCAACCCAAATGCACTCCAGGAAGGCCTTCGAGCTCGATGTTTGGAACAGAGCACGGTGTGCGTGATTATTTGACAGCAGGTATCTTGCTAGCCCCTTGAAACACACGTAGCCACACCCTGAACTTCCTGGATGGGGAAAAGGAATTGCCACGTGACAAGTGAAAAGCCAAACTTGGAGTTGTGGAACGTTTGAACCCCTCCTTACTCAGACGAAACATGGACGAATTTACCCCGGGCAGCGCCCCTTCTTTGCTCATGGCTCTCTACTGCTGAAACTCTGCGAGGGTGCAGCGCTTCGGAGCAAAAGCAACTGTCTGGAATCGGAGGGCCAGGGCCTTGCGCGTGCCCATCTGGAGTACGGAGGGCAATATCACAGAGTTACACAAATAGCCGGAGCAAGAAACACATCTTCAACAAGCATGCGGGGCCTTTGCAGCTAGTTTGGCACTCGCTCCACAAATTGGGCGAAGATTGCCCAATGACCAAGAAGCCCCAATAAGCTTCACTGGCTGACCTGTCCGTTGATTTGGCCAGTGCAAAACTAGTGTGTGTTTTTGTCGGGCTGAAGTCATTTAGATGGGAGCATGAACCATGTTGGGTTTTGCTGTGGAGCAGCTTTCACAGAAGCTAGCGTAAAGCTCAAAAGCTTGTTTTGTGGCTTTAACTAAAACTCAGCTGGCTCTTGGGGGAAACACCGTTTAAAACTTACCACAACCACCAGCGCGTAGACGAAGCTACTTCCCGGGATGGATTCCATGTTGGTTGAGCACGACTAGGATGCATAAAGCATCTGAATCACACATTGCTCGGTATTAATATTGGTTTGGGTCGATGCGTTATTGAGAGCAAGCGGTGTGTTGCGAAGTTTGATTGGGCATTTATTTGTGGTTGCTGGGCATTTATTTGTCGAAGTGAATTTTAGCTGTCCGAACCCCGACTTGGCAGTGTCGCACCTCCCCACTGAAGGATAGGGCCAACTGAAGGATCAAGCGCCCCAGCACTCTGCTGGCCAGCGAAAGCATTGGGCCCTTCCTGTCTTTCCCATGGCTGCTGTGCCATGCGTTTAAGGACAACGGTTCGGATTAGATCTTTAGCGCGGGTGCGTTCTTATGTTATAAAGCATTCTTCTTCGGGGGGCGCATGCGCATAGCATAGCGTTTCATCTTTGCAGTGAGGACGGTTGCTAATCCTTGGAAGGACGCGCTGCCGATCGGTGGCTGAGCAGCCTGTAGGATTGAGCCGGCATAAGCAGAATGAGGACTTTGGACTTTGCACCGCAAACCCGATTTCCGATAATGCAAGACCCGATTTCCGACAGCGCACGCGATTTCCGACAACGCAAGCCAGATTTCCGACAACGCACCTGATTTCCAACAATGCACCCGATTTTCGACAATGCAAAGCCCGATTTCCGACAATGCAGGCTCCCTGGGCCTGCATTCAAATGCACGCTCCCTGGCCCTACATTGCCGACCCTGACCTATTTGCATGCACGGATTCTCAGGGACTACATGTCTTGAAGGTGCTTGTAGACTATCGACCATCGCAAGTGGACAACTACGTCGCAAAGTGTGGAATGACCCAGACTCGAATGTGAGTCAGGCAAGCTCCAGCCAGGACTACAAAAGCTGAGTGAACCTTGGCCTAGCAAAGCAGCAGCGTCGGCAGCAGCAGCAATTGATTGTATGTGGTAAGCCAAACTATTGTTGGTGCTATTATTGCTACTATTATTGTGAGTATATTTGTGTGCTATTCTTGGTCGGTTGTAGAAGCGGCATGTTTACCCGAATCCTTCTATTTGCAGCGCGGCTGGCTCTTTAGCCTCGGAATGTAGCGGCTTGCGGGGCCTGAAGCGTGTTGGCTACGTGGATCAGAAACGAGTTATGAAAAGAGGAAGATTTGTGTTGGACCAGGGGCTGGTTGCCGCTTGCCTTGAGGTTGTTCTTAAGGATCCAAACATGGGTGAATTATGATATTTCACCAGCCTGAAAACAAGTGGTTGGGGGGCCATTCCCCACACAAACCACCATTTGGGGTGAGGTCGTGTGAGGTCGTTATAATTCACCCAGAACATATCCAATCAAAGGTCTCAGTTCGGAGTGACACAATGCTAGATATTCTCAGCGCCCGCCCGTCCAGGTCGAGCGAAGCATTTCCGTACGGCTCGCGAAGGTCAAGCAGGCCCGGAGCCGATCGGGCACGCAGCTTTCGTAGCTGCGTCCGTGAAACAGCAGGAAACGCTGTGCTGCCAGTATTTGCCGCCAATTGCAGCAATCCTGAAAACATTCCTTCCCTGCAATTCAAATGCCTGTAGAGATCTGTAGAGTCTCAACTACGCCAGCACCGATGATTTCTGCGTGCCTCAGCAACGCGGTTGTGCTCAACCCGTCAAAGCGCGTGATGCTGACATGTCCAACTTGACTCATACGAACAAACATTGAACAATATTGCAAGCAACATTATATGCAATGGTCCCCTCTCTCTCTCTCTCGCAGCAAGCGAGCCCCTTGCATCCAGTAAGATGCATGCTTGCACCACTGCCGGAGACTGCCTGTCATAGTCAAGTTGTCCATTGCATGATATTACATGCAAATTTGCAAACTATGCTTGAATTGCCCGACACCCGCATTATTCATGTGCCCGTGCCACTTGTGGACAAATAATTGTCCAAAGCCCAGCTGCCTGACAAACCAAACTCGAGGAAACTGACAAGCACCCTGTTCCGCATCACTAGCACAACATGGGACAGGGCAAGACATATTTGAGCTCCAACTCCAATCTCACAAATGTTTAGCTACTGATTGAATAGCAATGTATGCAAGCCGGCCGCACTTCTTGCTCGCTCGCTCGCTCGCTCGCTCGCTCGCTCTCTCTCTCTCTCTCTCTCTCTCTCTCTCTCTCTCTCTCTCTCTCTCTCTCTCTCTCTCTCTCTCTCTCTCTCTCTCTCTCTCTCTCTCTCTCTCCCCCCCCAGCGAGCGCGCGTGTGTGTGTGTGGGTGTGTGTGGGTGTGTGTGGGTGTGTGTGGGTGTGGGTGTGTGTGCGTGTGCGTGAGCCTGTGCGCGCGGGCGTCCGCGTGTCTGCACGTCTGCGTGTCTGTGTGCGTGCGATTTGCCTGTCTGCGTGCATGCGTGTCTCTGCCGGCGTGTGTGTCCGTGCGCGTGCTTGGGTCTGTGCAGGTGCTTGTGTGCATGCACGTCACGCTTGCTTGCGTATGTGATGTTGTGTGTGCCTGTATAGCTCGTGTAGCCTCTTCCACGATGCAAACCCCATGTGCAGGCCTTTGAAGTGTGGTCAATAGCCTGGTCAATAGACCTGGCGAGCATGCTGTGCTTGCCTCCCTAGCTTGTCCATCTCAAATAGTTGAACTGCTTGCATCGGCTGATGTGCACGCACAAAACTCTGAAAAAGAGCCCTCGCAACAGACTGTATGGAAACCACACTATGGAGTTGAAGTGGACGCCTCTGTACTTTCATTCCCTGCCTGCGCTTTGGGGTCCTTGCACACCATCCGTTGCCTAGGACAAGCACGATGCATTGATGCAGCATGTCTTCTGTGATTGTTCCAAAACAACAAGGCAAGCTGCACAATCTGAATCACTCGGACTAAGAACAAATGACAAAATAAATCCATGCATGATACGTGCAAACCGCCGGCAGCCAACGATACGAGCCTACTATCAACCTCCTAGACCCAACCGCGATAAAGAATCAAATTTGGCAATATCACCCACTCTTGAAGGAATAGCACGACATCAAGCCAAACTCAACACACACACACACACAAACACAATATATATATATATGTCCAACAGCATCCGCCACCTGCATGAAGTCACACCCGGCTACATACACAAACACACGCACAAGCACGCGCAGAAGAAAGGACAAAAAGTCACTAAGCCACATCATTACAGCCATTACATGCACTCTCACGGCATACACACACACACACACAAAGCTCGAAACACATCGGACCCCCGCACAGAGTACCAGCGCAACACCGTTGCGAGTTGGACCGGCAGGAAGCTCACTTGGGCGCATCGCCAAATACGAGTGTGATAATTCAATGAGGGACCCGCTGGTGGACATCGTTTGCATGGGGATTTATATGGCCATGGGTCAAAAGCCCGGACCCTTCAGTGAACAGCCCAATCCCCACTAAAATAGACTATTTTAGGTGGTGCACCCACCCCAAAATGGTACCGACCATTGGTTTTGACAACCACAGCTATATCCGCGAGCCATGTTTGAGGGGCTTCCAATGGCCAAACGCGACGCGGCATCCTGGGCATGCGGGCATCAGCAGCCCGTGCAACAGGCACGGCAACTTTTGCTCCTCGAGGCCTCCAGCGTTGGCGCCCATCTCCAGGAGAAAGTTGCAAACTTCCTGCGGAGGGCTATGGGTGTCTCATGGGTGTCTCTCTTTGAGGGTGCCCTTTTTTGTAGTTTCAAAGGGAAACCAAGGGTGAATCCACCAGTTTGGGGGCTTTCCTGGTTGCAACATCTTGTAACTCGCCTCTGTTCAGCACTGCTGGTTGGAACCGCTCCCCCCTGATTGGAGCCGCTCCAACATGTTGGAACCACCACCTGCTAATCGCTTGACTTAGGGCTGACAGGTCGGAGGCTAATATGTGGATTGTTGTTCGTGAGGTCTCTTTCTCTCGTGGTTTTGCAGCTCGTTGGATTTCTTTGGGCTCACCCACAGCGGCGGCTCGTGTACAAAAAAGGGTCACCATCTTTGGCCAATTGCTGCAAACCTGAGATGAACCCCACGCGGGCCACGGATGCAATTGTGCACAACTCACTTGGTCAAGACCAACCTCCGGCAGGAAGGACAGCGGGCTTGGATGGAGATTGCAAGTGCAATAGCTATGTAGCAACTGTTGTTTGCACCAAATAACAGAATCAACATTGTTGGGACTGTCCCAAGCGACTGTAAACTCCTTACCTTATATGTTTGACAATACTTCATATTATGCCAGCTTGCCTTGCTTGTAGCGAATGCATGTTCCAACGCACACTCGCTGCTCCCATGTTCCATACTACTGTTCCTATGGCAAAGCTTGAAGAGTCCTATTTGGATGTGACACCAAAGGCAAGCAAGGATTGTACTTCCTTTTGCCTCGGCTAAAACCGAAGTTCCTTGAGAATACTGCTGCTGATGTTAAATGAACCATGAGTTTACACTAGTGGCCAAACGGATGCAGCGTACGCATTGGATGGATGGTACACTGTGGAACACTATCCAAACCCTTCTCGAAGGTAGCACAAAAGGAAACCAGTACAGAACAGGGCCACAAGGTCAACGAATCAATCCGCCAGTCCTGCTGCCCTTCTTGTGCAGCTGCCAGCAGCGGTGTGACCTCGTCGAGGTTCCGAGCATTGATCTGTGCGCCGAATTTGAGCAGCGCCTGCACCCAAAGCTGAAGCAGCTGGTTCACTGCGTGACGTTGACAAACATGCTCCCCGTGAAACCACTTGGAATCACAACTCATCAACCATTTCGCCGCCTGAAGCTCGCCCCTGCCTGAGCCACCTCCAAGTTCCCGTGCCTCGCCGCCATGTGCAAAGGCGTCTCCTTCAGTGGTTGGGCCGGCAATCGAGCACAGCAAACCGACTCATCGCCCATCGGCATCAGACCAGCTTTTCACCTTTCCGTGAAGTGGACACACCACACACACGAGCTGGGGGTTGATCAAAAGGTCCTTTACATGGGAGCACCAACAAAGTGATACTTCCCACATGGGACAAGTTACCCATTTGGGGCCGCGTAAACCACCAAACAAGCGAAACTTCCCACGAAATGGACCAGGACTATTTTTCCTCAACCCCCCAAAGGCTGCACTCTCGCGCACCCAAAACCGGTTGCCACCTCCCCACCCCGGACTCGGCTCCTCCCAGGCCTCCCGGGCGTTGGGGTCCGCGCCCGCCCGCAGCAGCTTCTCCGCGTGCGCCGGCGCCACGGCGCGCGCGGAGGCCGCGGCCACGTGGAGGGCCGTGCAGCCGAAGGCGTCGGTGGCTTCCCGGACCGTTCGGAGGTCAGAGGCCTGGGCTCGGTTGTCGCAATGAAAGCAACAAATAGTAAATCTTAGCGGGTAAGTGGTTGGATTTCAACCACTAAACCACAATAAGAAGGCAAGCAAACTGTGGGACTTAGGCCAGGTGAAACTATGTGCCAGGCCATTCCGGTTTGGTACAAGGCTAGTTCTTACAAAGAATTTAAACTTCAAGGCATCAAGTAAACTTAACCAGTCAAGCAAAGGAAAACAATTGAGCTGGCCTCAGGCTGGCTGTTCTCAGCCTTCTGCAGCAATCGGAGGTTTACGCCGGTCAGCACTGCCAAAGCCGCCAGGACCAGCAACAGCACCTCGAGCAGGTGGTCGTTGGGGACAGGCGGAATCGTTGTCTCTGGCTCTGCGGCCCTGGCAGGGACGCACAACTTCACATGCTCGAGTGGGCAGTCTGCAAGGTTGATGTGATTTTCGGCCGACTTGATTAAAAGACACCTTTGTCAAATTCGGCCGACAGCAAGCAAAATTCGGCCGACGCTTTTGTGAGCTTCGGCCGACATTGAGCTGAAGTTCGGCGGACGTAAGCGAACCAGCCCGATCGTCGCGACCATCCCAGGCATCCTTAGTAACGTGCCATTACGACCACCTCGACGACCACCGCGACAATCCCGACCATCCCAGCCTCTCGTCGCGCCACCTCGACACCCCTCCACTATCCCGACGATCCTGAGCATCCGACCATCCCGACCATCCCGACCATCCCGACCATCCCGACCATCCCGACCATCTCGACCATCCCGACCGCCCCGACCGCTTCTTTTCGATCGGTCTAGTGCTTCCGAAATTCGCGCTCCTGCTCTCAAATGTCACGCTCCAGATTGCTGAATTTCATGCCGCTGCTTTCTGAGTTTTGTTTGTCAGAATGTCGCGTGTGTTCTCCGAAAGTCGCTTCGCCCGAGTATGCAACGAGCTCGCGTATCAACGTCAATCCTCCATGTTGTCCTGTTTTTTTGAATGAAGACCAAAGAACAGAACGCCTTTGGGAGGGTACACATGTTGACATGTCCACATTCTCAATCCCTTCAATTGCGAGATCATGCGAGATCTCACCCAATGCTACCGCGCACGAGATTCCTAATATATAGGAGCTGCACATATCATATCATGAACACAAGGACCTCCACTCAGCATGTCTGCTTCACTACCGTGCCAGATCCGAGAAGTTTGCGCAGAGACACTGATTCAGCACCAATCGCAGGGACTTTGAACGAACCCCGCATACACCGACGTGTTTCGGCAGTTTCGACGTGTTTCGACTTGTTTGAATTTGAGTCATAAACTTGCTGAAATTCATTTGAGCGAGCGGCAAAACCTAAATGCACAGAAGTGATTTAGGACTCATTCTTATCGTTTTTGGGGGTTCCCTATATCGTTTTGCAGGTTTCTGGCACATGGAGAGCGAGCACCGGCGTTTTATTGTCACGGCACATTGGCTTCACAGCTCTGTTTCAGACTCTTCCATTGGGTCAGCAGACAAAGCAGCTGCATGTTTCCGCTTACTCCGGGCACTTGCCTTGACCAAGCGGGCTTCATCGCGAGTGACCATGTGCCGCGAAACATGCGCAGCTGGGCATGGTGCTTCCTCATGATTTCATTCGTTTGATTTAGAGCAACCGTTGGTTTTCTCCATCACTGTGAGATCTTGCCAAAAGCCGCGCTTCCACTGTAGTTGCTCTGCTTCCAACTTGCGCTCGACGATCTGCTGTCTGATAGCGCTGTTACCTGCGCGAGGCTTACCAAAAATCAACGAAGCAAGCGCACAAACGCAAAGCAGAACTGTTTCTCTAAAGCAAAGCCGTTGATTTCGAGCGAGCTTCTGAAGAGGCAGTTGGAGGTGCGTACGGGATGCGTGCCAGATGGCACTGCTTCCAGGCAGATCGGAGTCCTTGAAAACCTCCTTTCGCAAACGCTTGAGAGCCTCCTCATCACTCATGGCGCACTACGAATGCACGCAGCACGGAGACATCGAAACTGTGCGCACGAGTCTACCGTTATGGGCAACTGCTCACGAAGACGATTTTCCGAATGAACTGCTTATCGTTTCGTTATCGTTTCGGATATCGTTTTGGGCAGGTATGTTTTTGCCAAAGTTCGCGGAACAAACAGCATTGCGTGGCCGCAGAGCCCGATCTCACATATGCTGGGCGCGTCAGGAGGCGCAAACATGATGGCTGGGATTCTGGGCCACAAACAAAAAGCTGCCAAACGCGAGACGCTCCAAGCATCGTCTGCCACATCATGAAAGCATGTTTTATTGTTTTTGGGGGTTCCCTATATCGTTCTACAAGGTTTCGATAGATTTCCTCACGCTAAATCGCCCGAATGCATAAAGAAGTAACGGAGAGTTTAGCCTGTTGCTCATTTAGCACGTGGGCTGAAGTTGTTTCAAGCACTTCCACGGCCTGCCTGGCATGCAGAACTTCGCAGCCCTCCTCCAGAAGCAGCTCCGCGGAAGGCTCGCTCAGCTGCGGCACGAAGCTTTCGGTCAGGGTCCTTGTTGCAGAGCTCTTCTCATGAAAGAATCTGTCCGCAGTGGAGAACTGGGTCACGGCCAGCAGGGTGACAAAGCAGGCGAAGACCAGTGCCATGCTATCTACGTTTCAAAGGAGAGACTCGAGCCAGCCAGGCGCAATGAGGTGCTGAGAGGTTGCAGCAGCCCAAAGGCCGGCAGCTGGCTGAATTATGAAGGGAGAGCACGGTAAGCAGAGTGGGAGTCCGCTCGAGCCCCACAAAACGGCTGCAAGCGCATGCACGGCAAATGCGGTCTCCTTTAAAACTTTGAAGCACATGTTCAACCTTTTGTGAACCCGTGAGCCATGACTCACTGCTTGAAAGGACAGCAAGCGCAATGCCCAGCCTTCTCCGGATGTTTTCGCGACCTTTTTTTGACAAAGGTGCTTGCCAAGCCATGGAATCAATCCATGGTCAAAGCAATGCAAGACTCGTGGCTTCTCTGTGGCGTCAAGTTGGCCAAGTCAACCCCGTAAACATGGATCACAAGAGCCCGGCAGCTAAATCGTAACCTGTAACCTTTTGTGGTCGGCTGCTCTGTCTTCCAAAATGCCGACCCTTCCCAAGGCCACAGCTGGTCTTGCCCGAAGATGTGCCGCAAATCTCCCTTCACCGCAGGCACTGGCACCTCAAAGGTCTTGGACAAAGCGCAGGATGCACAATCGCATTTCGGGTTGCCTTGCAATGCCAACCGAACAGGGGTTCACCATTTTGAGAAACACTCATGTTTGGAGCCTAGAATGCGCAACTGGAGAAGCAGCGGGCAAACTCCGATGGCGCATAGGCTTCCCACCCGCCCCCCCCCCCCCCCGGAAAAAAAAAGGCGGGCGGGCGGGCTTTCGTGCACGCATGCGTGCGTGTACGTGTGGTGTCCGTGCGCGCGTGTGCATGTGTGTGCGTGCGGGTGCGTGCGCGTGCCTGCTTGTGCCGTAATGTCAGAAACATACACAATCTGGCATTTAAAAGCCATGCAACACCACCATGTGTAAGAGACTCACATGGGCTGCGCCCACACGTGGAACATGAGGCCATGCGAACATTTGTATGCTGTGACAGGCAAGCCAAATTCAAGCGAAAGGAACCTCAAAACAGGCTGGCAATCCCGCTAAGATCGCGTGGCCCAAAGAGGAACCCCACAAAGAAACCAGCCATTTTGAGGGGCCGCTCATTTTGAGACAACCCCACGTCGTGGCTAGCCTCATCTTACGCTTTGACCACTGGACTTGTGCGTCTTCCCGCCTCGCCACCGTCCTGCTCGTCCTCAACCTGCGTTTAAGTCGGCCAGGCGAGGGCGGAAGCATTCGCACCTGAATAAAAGCACGCAGGAGCAACAAAGCAATATGGGGCATAGGTGCATCTTTTCTTGAGGGTACCAATTTTTGGGTTGGCTTGAAGGGAACCAAAAGGAAACCAATAATTTCCTTATTTTCAGACAAACCCACATCTCCTATATCCATCCAGTATTAGAAACTAATGGGCTATTGACACAGACATCTCCGCGCCTCCTCCTTCACAGTGAGGATGCCCAAACGACATGTCAGGGTGATCTCCTTGGGCAAAGCCCTGGAAAGCGACTGAAAACTGCCAACGCCCAATAAGAAATCCCCTTGCCCACATTGAACCAGGAGAGCTATATGGGTGGGTCAATATTAAACCACCAGCAAACCGCAGATTTTTGTCCCTGTTGCCATTTACCAGGGCGACCCATTTTGTGGTTACCCTATTTTTGACCCACAGCCATATTGGCGTTCGCCAATCTCATCCTATCGCCAGCCGCTCCATCCACACGAGGGCATCTAAGCTGTCGACCTCGGCATCAGGCTCCTGCACCAGAAGCTGATTGAAAGGCACACTCACACACAAAAGACAGAACGCCCAGGTCATGCGGTGAGTGCATTTCATTTTGCCTTCAACCTAGGATGTATATATAATATAAAGATGTTGTATTTGTTGTATTTTAATTGCTTGGTACAAGCAACTGCTTCCTTGTGCAACACATGGTGTGACCTGTGCAGTTCCGTCCTGACTGCCCTGGCTCAATGGCACAGCTTGGTCCTCGACAGGCTCCTTCGCACATCCAAAGACATAAACGGAATAAGCTGGAGATGTGCCCCGCCCTTGAAACGCCAAAGAGCCAAGCGCGTGGGAAATTTCTTTCTTCCACCGCTCTGCGGCAGCAGCTTTCGGCTCGAACGCCGGCTTTGTAAAGCAAGCCCCGGCGGGGTCATCAGTCGTCCACGCCCCAGAAGCGCTTCCACAAAGATCCCTTCGTGGCCGTTGCATGTGGGTCCACCACACGGTCACCCTGCCTGACAGCTGGAATGAATTGGAACAGCGCAACCACGGTGATGATGGGCAAGCAGGAGGCGACCACGGACGCTTTCCATAGATTGTCGAACCTGTCCGACTCCCCCACTGCTCCACTGGGGGTCACGCCCAGACTTTGCAACAGCAGCGCTCCCCAACAGCTTGCGATGGTGTTGCCAAGATTGTGGCAACCAGCCAACAGCGCGTACATGGTGGCTTCCATACCCTTGGGGCAAAAATAGGATAAAATGATGACTTGCGGCAGCCACTGCCATTGGTTCATGATGTTCTGCACCACGCCGGTGCCTTGGCATGGTGACTTCACGCAGGTTTTCTGAGATCCACAAACCACTGCTGGCAGTAAACCAAATGCTGCGCTGGGTGTTGCCAGACCCAAACAACCACAACAATACAATGCAAAATGTCCAAGCTCTCAAACATCATATATACATGGGGAATCGCCAAGGCAGCACAATCAATTTCCAGCAATCTTAAGTGCGGCAATGAATCCAATAACGAAGACGTGATCTGGAATCCCCACGGTCTGATTGAATCGACTGTACCTGAGGAAGCCACAGGCCATGAAGTTTAAAGGTTCATGCTTGCGTGCGCAAGCGCTTCGAGCCTCATATCTGCCATGGTAAAAACGCTTGCCTTTCTTGCCTTATCAATGAATTATCACATTGTTCTCAAGGATCCTTACTACCAGGTCGACCATCCCTGTTAACCCCAAGCAAAGTTGTCTTTTGACCATGGCACACATGGGCACAAACATCGAGATAAGAACAATCTGTCCAAACTGTTGCCGTTGAATTCAACTATCGATCTCTTCCGCGCATCTTCGTCAAAGCTGTCTTTGAGTGCCTTGCTCCAAACCACGGCGTGGCTGGGGAAGGCGGCCTCTTTACAGGTTTGTGGCGAAGGGACTCTGAAGGTCCAAAGTTGATTCACAGCCGTTCCAGAGGCCCATCCAATTTCAAAAGCCCGATCAATTGCGGCAAAGTGAAGACATGGAACTGAAGACGAGAAATTGAGCACTCAGCACTCAAGCTCTTTCCGCGCGTGCAAACTCAAGAGATGGAATTCTCTGAGGCAAGTCTCCAAGAATGCCAAGATGCAACAGAGCATCAGTCGCATTCAGCAGGCAGTAGGCGATGTTTGTTACAAGCAGTAGATTCCTTAAATCAGATTTACCGCGTGCAGAAAGATCATTGGTGAGTGCACTACATAGAGGTAGAGTACATAGCCTGCAGAAACACCGCAAGTGCAGCATAGCTTCCTGTATTCGAAGCCCACCATATAGCGCTGAAAAGTTATAATTCCAGCCTTGGCTACGAGGAATGGTCATGCTATTATACAGTGCGTTCAAAAGGTATACAAGCGACACACAACTCTCTCATGCCTCGCCCGGAGTCAATCTGCTCCGCTTGCTCGTGGCAAAGACTTGTGTCTTCCAAGGAGCCAATGACATCAATGCACCCACCTCGCATTCATTAGCATACTGAGAGGACTGTGCGAAGACTGCTACAAATGCAAAGCAACAGTGTTGTCCTGAATACCAATAAGGGCCAAGACTCTGTTCCAATGACCGAGTTGTAAAAGAAGGGCGAGAAATGCGGCCCCTCGCGGACAGAGTCTGTGCTTACGAAACCCAGGCGCAATCCACGAACCGGGCTAAAGAAAACAGAGCCTCGCTATTGCAGTACATGACCCACCCCAGTTCACAAACAAATGAAACCTTGATCATAATTTCAGCCCTTCCAGCGCTTGGCAGCCTCCGGATACTGCTCCGGCGTGTCAGTCATGAAATAAAATGATGCGCCACCTGGGTACAAATGGCAATGTGCGGTTCCGGAGATGAAGTGATTTTCGACGGCTAACGAAGACACAGAAAACACACCCAGTGCTTCCAGCTGCCATTGTAGCAAACAATTGGAGGACAGTACCATGTCAGCAAAAAGGAAAACAAACATCCGATTTCCTGGTAGTGGCTGGAAGCACTAGGGCAAAACACAGCGCCGAGGATTGAGCCGTTTATCCAAGAGGCTGGTCGACAGCGTCATGGAGGTCTGGAGCAACGACCACAGGTTGAACTTTGCAACCGTTGGGGAGAGCAAAACCTTGGATGCTTCAAACGAGGCGCTTATGAGCCTTGGATGCTTCCTTCAAATGAGCCTTGGATGCTTCAAATGAGCCTTGGATGCTTCAAATGAGCCTTGTTCTAATTTTATCTTACTTTTCTGATGACATTTTTCAACCTTCCGCGAACCCTTCCGTCAGCTTCTGCGGCGTGAACCTTTGCTTCCGCGGACGTGCTTCTGTCATAACTGTTTGCGCGGGGATGTTTTGGTCACCGTTGCTTCTGCGGCCACAGTTCGGTTGATTATGGGCTTCTGTTGTTGCAGTGGACGGTTTAACATATGAACCGTCCGCGAAGCTTCCGCGAGGCAAACCCTTCCGCAAACCTTCCGCGACTTCAGCCCCACGCACATTTTGCAAGCACGATGTCCGCCCGCTTGCAGGGCGGGAAGGCGCCTAACAGAAACCACGACCCGAATGCAGACTAATTGTCCAAAGCTACTGCTGTGCGTGTCCCTATTTGTCTCCTGTCTGTCTATCCGTCTGTCCATTTACGCATCTGTACATCTATCCACCTGTCGGCCTAGTTGCCCACCAACCTACCTAGCTACCTATCTATCAATCTGTCCATCTCTCTTGTCTATCAACCTAGCTCAGCCTGTGGACCTATCTATGCTAAACGCATCGGTCTGCCACTCGTATCTATCGATTCATCGCTCTGCGTCGTCGGCCTATCTATCTGTCTGTCCACCTACCTAACTTTCCATCTATCTCTTCGAATTATCCACCAGTCTCATCTACCTATCTCTGTCTGTCTCTGTCTCTGTCTCTGTCTCTGTGTCTCTGTCTCTGTCTGTTCGTCTGTCTGTCTATGTCTGTCTGTCTCTGTCTGTCTGTCTGTCTTTATATCTAGGTCTATCTATATCTATCCCTCCCTCGCATCTGCTTGGTGCTTCAATCCCATCTATCTATCTACCTACTATCAACCTAATAGCCGCTAGGGGATGTATCCAGTCTAATCTAACCTGTCCAGCCACCTATCTGGCCTCACGCAATCTAGTCTAATCCAATTTCACCTGCATCTACCTATCTAATCTGTCTATCTACCTACCTAGCTCTCATTTATCTATCTGTCTAGCGGTCTGTCTGCCTATCTACCTGTCATCTATCTGCCCACCTACCGTCCAAAGTGCTGCGCCTGTCACGCAAAGTGTGCTTCTGACAAAGTAAAAAAGCTCTTAAAGTACTGCGCTTGTCACGAAATCCAACTTTGAGACGCTTGTCAGAAATTAGCTGGGGCGCCAGAATGATTCCGATGTTGATAATTTTTTCTCAGCTTACCCAAGCAGGCCGATTGTTGACGCGGCAAACGCAAAATGACACTCGCGCAAATGTCGCACGCACCTGCGTGAAAGCAAAAGACCTGAAACATCACAATGATACGGCGAGCTTGCAACCTTCCAAAACACTGTGCTTAAGCAGCGCCGCGTGGGCGAAACGACAACAGCATGTTGCCATGGTCATACAAATCGCGCTTTGGAGCACGTCTCACCGGAGGTCTTGATTTGCAATGGCAGCCACTCGCTGATTTCGTGGTCGGCGCAATACTTTGTAGGGTCGCGCGTTGGTTTCGTGACAGGCGCAGCGTTTTGGAGCACGATTCGCGTCGTAGGAACTTTGATAGATAGAAAGATAAGTGGGTAGAGCGGAGAGAGGGGTAGATAGTTAGATAGGTTGAAGGACAGACAGATAGATAAATAGATAGGAAGATAGTGTGATAGAGAGTCAGAGAGATAAACCCAGATAGATATGAACATAGACATAAATATGTATATAGGCCGGATAGAGTGACAGCCAGACAAACAGGCCTTTCCCAACGGCACAAGAACTTTCGCCGCCTGCGACTGCTGGCGGACGCTTGTCAAAACTTGAGAACGCTTACGGACGCAGCGACCTATCTGGCGAGCGCATCCTGACCCCAAACCCCTTTCTATCACGGGAGCCCTTCTGCTACGCATTCGGGCTTGCTCGCTGCAACTCGGGAACAACAATTTATGCTAATATTGCCTGTGCAGCACAACTGCGACATCTGAAGGTTGGGAAACACTGCCACTTGGCTACCCGACGGGAAATCCCGTCCCACTCGCAACAATCGCGCCCGTGTTGCGGAAATACTCCACCAGCTCAAGTACTGAACTAGCAGCAGGCAGTGAAGTGAGTACAAACGGAGAAAACAAACCGTCAAGCCAAGCAACGGTGAATGCAACCCCCACCAGGAAGAAAACGGCAGTTGCAGCCGCGGCATTGACGTAGGTGTTGGATGTGATCAGGCCAGTCACTGTCAGGCCCACACACACAGCGCACATCAACCTGGCCCGCACAACACCAACTCAAAGCTCCTGGCACATCATTGTTCCCTCTCTGCCCTTTTCCTCTTGCTTCAATCTGTCCAAAGTTTAAACCTTTTCAACCATCGTTGTTACCTCTCTGCCCTTTTCCAGTTGCTTCAATCCGTCCAAAGTCCACAAACCTTTTCAACCATCACTGCTCCCTCTCTGCCCTTGTCCTGTTGCTTCAATCTGTCCAAACTGGCCTCATGATTTACCATGATCAAAGTCACCCCCTAAGTGGGTGAAGGGAAACAACCCCATTTTCTGCCTTTGATAACCAGAAACTGACAAAATCATGACCCCAAAGTCCAAGAACCTTTTCCAGCCGAATCTGCCAAGAGGCAAGCTGAGGAAGATGGCCTCCGGCTGCCTCGCGCCGGAAGCTAGTGCGCAATGCTTGGGACCGCCAACCCCGGGCTCCGCTGCTTGAAGCAAACGGGGCCGGAAAGTCCACTCCCCCCCAGTGAAATATATCCAACAATGAATAAACATATTGTGATTTCAGGCCAAGGTCGAGATGTTATAATCGCTTCCCATGTTGTTGAATCCCGACCCCCCTGTAAACATGTGCTTTTGCAAAAACATCGTACAAAAGTGGGTCCCAAGAAGGGTTCCACTACCGTCTCTTCCAAAGGGCACAAACAACAGCAAATCTGCCGGAAATTGCTCAAGGCACTTTTTGGTTTTGTCAATTCAAGTTCAAAACGCGCGATTCAACTTACGATTCACAATTTGAGTCTACAATCAAAGGAAGGGAAGTGCTACATGCACCCCCAAAACGGGCCGTCAGGAGTTGAGTATTTGGGTGAATCAAATGTAGGTCTTTTTTGGATGTAGTCAACTCCCCAAGCCATGGATTCAAGTTCATGAGTCTCTTTCCCTCTTCCATTCCGTCACAAATTGAGTGCCAACAGGTTCCCTCCAAGGGAAGAACAACGTGACCTGGTTCGGCTACCCCTAAGATATGATCAGCCCATGGCGTGTAGTTGGGCCCTAGACCCTTGCATGCAGGTCACAAGGAGATCCTTCTGCGGGCTTCTGCCTCGGCCGACGCTTTGACCAAATGGGTCCTCTGCAACTGACGAACGCTCAGGTTGAGCTGAGGCACCGCTTCGTCAGCGCTCACCTCCTTCTCTTCCAGGAAGCCCAGTAGCAGCGGGATCATAATCTGGCCAAAACAAGTGGCCATGGGTCAAAAGCCCGTACCCCCAGTGAGCATTAACCAATCCAACCACTAAAGTAGGTTCCAAAATGGGTGGTGAATTCACCTACCCCAAAATGGGATCCCAAAACGGTTTTGACAACCAATGGATGTGAAGCACCCCTCCAGTTTGAGGCGCTGGCCAAGGCAGCAGGCAATGCCTTGAGGATCAACACGGGTGTGTCTTTTCTTTGTGGGAGCAGCCAAAAGGGGTCTGAGATTCTCAGGGTTTAATATATGTCCTTTGTTTTTTTGTTTATACGCATCAAGGAAAACCAAAGGACACCAGCCGTTTTGCAGGGTAGCTGAAACAAACACACCTACACATTGATGTCAAGGCATCTCTATGACTAAGACTTTGGCTGAGATCAGGTACGGCAGCTTCGGCGATGCGACGGCAAGCACCAAGCCGGAGAGCGACATACCAAGTAACGACCTGAGACATGTCCATTGACTCGACTCGGCATCAGCAGCATGGGAAACGTAAGCCAGGCACCCGATGTTCATCCCGAACCACACATAGCCTTAGGCCGTGGACACTTGAAACAAATCAAACAGGGCGCACCGGGCACCATGGAGGATATGAGCCAGTCTGTGTTTTCATTGTGCTGCATCCAGTTGAAGATGTCCGGCAAATCGAACTTGCATGTGAACGCTGTACATGATTCAAGCCAGCCAGTCGGTACCTCAACTTCCTTTGTGATGTGTGCGTGCTGTGCTTCTGCGTTTACCAAAGTTCACACGAAAAGTGACAGCCTTGACGGGATATCACACCTGGCCGGAAACACCCTGTGAAAGACTGAATAGCTATCTCTGCTTGCTGCCCAGGCTGCTCAGAACATGAGGCCCGTAGGCGGGCAACTCCTGAATCTTCTCTGCGTACTTTGCCTGGCGCAGGGGTTTCAATGCTGCCATAGGCCACGGTTCCTTTGCTTGGCACCTCAGAAAGGATGTCGCATACTGACAGCTGCGATTGCATGAGGAACAGGCAGGTCACCAACCTTAGATTGTCCCAGTACAGGCAATGTTGTCCTGCCAAAGCTGAAGGGTCCCCTTCCAATACTACCTTTGGGTAAGGAACATGACGTGTCCACTGGACACACAGCAAGCCCTGCACACGCTGTTTGAATTATTTGTCATGGCAAGTGGCAGAGGCACCGGCAGAAGGTCATGGGGCATCGCTCCCACGACCAGAAGTGCGATCGTGCCGGCAACGACGCTAATGCACATATATGGAAACTTGTGGTACCCGCCTTAAGCATTGACACAGGTGCCATGCTGCTACGCCCCAAGATTTGCTTCCAAGGGCATGGTCAGAGCTTGATACATTCAGTTGTGATTCATAAGGGTTGCGGACCGCTGCAACTTGATTTAGAGAAAGCGAGCCGAGCGGTGTGCGGGCCATGGTTCAGGTCCTCAAACAAAAAACAAGTCGGCCTTTGACACATGGGGTGGGTACACCAAGCGTTTCAACAAAAACAGCGCACAGGTTTGGGTCTGAATTCGCACCAAGTCGCCAATTGGAAAGGAATCGCTCAGGAGGCCAATAATTGGCTTTAGCGCCCAGGGGAGTTGTGTGATGCCTGGCGGGCAAACGTGACTTTGACCACGGAACTTCGGAGCCTTTTGAGCCATGTTCGGTTTGGGGCCTGAACCTGCTTCCTGGCACAACTGTAGTTCTGTGGATATTGGCTTGCTCGCTCAGACTGGCCTGAGAAGATCTGAACAACGGGTGCTGGGACGCTGTACCTCAGAACTGACGCCTTCCTGAACTAACGACCGGTTGTGTTGCGCGCGCATGTACTTGCGATGCTGACAAGTCTCGTTTTGTACACGTAGGGATCCTAGGTATACGCAGGAACGGCTGCAAGCTTTCGCATTCATGTCCATGCCATAAAATGCTTGGTCTTTCGGCTACATTACTCCTGCTGAATGCTTCTTCTCCACGTCTGATTCCTTCCCACAACTGGTGCTGCAACAGCCAACATAAACGATTGTCAGTAATGGAAAGGCCTCCCCACTGATTGCAGCGTGAGCAGCTGCCTGGGATGTGAAGTCAGAGACAAAGCCCCTCCCAACCTCGGCTGTGCCGAACATTTACAAAGAAAGCCATGCAGCCCTGCACTTGAGTCAGAATCAAACCCGGTACTAAGATGGTTGTACTCCCAGAACCATGCTTCAAGAATTAACAAGGCGGATATCCGCAGCTATTTGTGGCAAGGGGATTGGCCCTTGCTAACCTGCATCAATCCCCGGGTTTTGAGCACGTGGCTCACTCGGTGCCTGGCATGCTGCACGAAGAAGAGCAGCACTAAGAGCTTGTAGCCGACAGCTCCTTGCGAGCAAATTTTTGATGAGGACCAGGCTGATAGGTGATGTGTGACATTGGTTCTATGTTTCTGGGAGTGATACACATCTGCTACCTTTGGCCGGTCCACAGCTCACCAAACATTGAATGAACACATTGACCAAAATAAGTCGAAAGCCCCAAAAAGCAAGGCTACTTGCTCTGCAAACGGAATCAAGAGGCAGAACAGGCGGCATCAGGGTCAGCTTGACGGACAACTACTAGGGTGTACCATGCCAATATGCGGGCGATGGAATCTCATGAATCATCCATGTGTGAATTATGGTGACAAAAACTATTTGTGGATAATTGCGTGGTTTGCTTACTGGACGCCCTCCAAGTCGGAGTTCTGATTTGTCTCTTGGAGCTTTCCGGACTGCCATTCACGTCAATCCCAAAAGACGAGGTCCTTTGACTTTGGCACAAAAGTTGTCAAGACTAGGGGCCTTTTCTGGTAGCCCCTTTTACCTACCGGCACCAAAGTCCCTTTAAAGAAAGCCATATTTTTGACAACAGCCTTCAGCCATTCCGGCCATTGGCGATCCAACGATCGCGCTGCTCCTGACAGGTCATCCAGGAACTGCGCCAGACCACAGCTCCAAGAGCATTCTTCGCCTTGAGAACACCAAACAAAGGTCCCGAAACACCAATCGTATGGAACCCCTTGGTGCACAAAATTTTGCCAGGATTGAGTTCACCAACCACTTTGAAGGGGGTTCTCGATTGAAATTCTTAGCCATGTGGAGTGCAAGAAAAGTGTGTGCGTTTCGACCGCATCCTAAGGTATGCCTTTGATTCCATCAATGCAAGTGTGCAAGGGCCGCTTAAACGACGTCAATCCTCTTGACCCAAAGGCTCGCTACACAAGACGCCTCCGCGGAGGCGTGAACCCAAGCGTTGCAGGCACCCAGTCCCTCATTTTCTGCTAGCCCCCTTACGAAAACGCAACATACTCAACACTGAATGCAGAGCTGACTGCGAAATGATCCTCCCATACACGTCAAAGTGTCATGGCAACTTGAAAAACTGATGCTAGAAGGTATAAGTACGCCTATGGCAAAACACGCCTACTCGAACCCCCCCCAATGCAGGATCTTGTTGGAACGGCCTACGCGGAACACTTTGATACTAGGCGCCTCGGCACAAGACAAGGCCCCGTATATCAGTTAAGACTGGCACATGCCTCACCGTACGGTGCCTCACTAAATTTGCCCTTTTCAAGGAAGCTGCTAGAGTATGTACGTGTGTGTGTGTGTCTGTATGTACGTACGTAAGTACGTCTGCATGCATGCATGCATGCATGTGTGTATGTATTTATGTATGTATACATATACATATATATATATATATGGCTATATCAGTATGTGTATATCTACCTATATATATATATATGTATATTCATTTAATGTACATATGCGTCTGAGCGCAACTTGCAGTTGTCATGTGGGCTACTGTTGACACATGTCGCAGCTTCCAAACAAATGCAGCTCAGGCACGTCGTGACTTTCCGTTGACCAGTCCGATACTTTCGTCATCCTCATCCGAGTTGATTCTCTTTTGCGTCATTCATGGAAATCTCGCAGGGAGAGCAGGCGCCGTATCTGTGGCGAAGTTCGGTAGGGATAGATGTTCGAGCCACATGGCTTGATGTGAAGCCTTTCACCCAGGCCATCTTCAAAACGAGGGTAGATCCGTTCCTGCTTGGATTGCTCAAAGTTCACCTCCACCAAGCTCGATTCTTGTGGACTCAATAAGGTCATGGGATGTCATGGGCGTACCGCATTGCGACAGCTCCCTGGTTTTACGCAACTGGGAATCCAGCAGCGCTCAATCGGCTTTGAGGTCTCTGCCAAGATTGGCTGTCCCTGATCACTTAACACCCCAACATGGACAGGGTTCATCTGGGAGCTGATTGCTCAAAAGGAATATATCACCATTCAGGACCTTCTCTTGTTGGTGCTCAGCAGGGAACGAGGGAATGAACTCAGGAGTCCTATAAGGGTCATACTGAATGAAGCGGACATCGGCAGGTACAGCTCCTGAGGCCTCTTGGGAGATGTATCGGCACTGCCTGGCGGACGTCCGCGTTCGTTTGACCTTTAGAGCCGATTCTGATGTGCAAAGTCGACCTGTTTCAAGCTGATATCAGCATTTTTGGAATCCTGTCGGAGCCCAAAATGTAAGCTTTATCCTTCAATCTGACTCACACTCTCAGATCTCACACTCTCACATCTCCTTGAAGCAAGGCAGCAAGTCGAATGGACCCAGAAGCGGTCGCCTGGCAGACATCTGGACAGTGATCTCACGCATAGCCTTCCTACACCTCTTGGTACCAAAGGAGCCTCTGATGCAGGCTTGGATGCTAAAACGTCCACACGCGAGATTCGTAAAGGGCCGCAGAGCAAAGGGGGTACCTGGGACATCATCTTGGAGGTTCCTTTTGAGATTTGGACTGGAGCTTCCATTTGATTTAGTATTGCTGGATCATGGTTGCCAGTATTGCTGGATTCGAGTTCCATTTGATTCAGCTTGCTTCCTTTTGAGAGTTTGAAGGGGGGACCAGGCAACAAGACTTTATTGCAGGGGGGATGAAGTAAAGGCAAATGAGGCGAACAAAAACCGGTGTTCACGCTCTAATCCTACACTCAAGTGCATTGAATTCCACGCGGCGGTCTTCTTAGATGTTGTGTGCTCTAGGTGGGGCCTCAAACATGGAACCTCACAAGTGGCCGCTGTGTCAGCATGTGCGCCTGAGAGCTCATGGTCAAGCCAGCAAACAAGAAAGCAGGACGCAAGGAAAACAGGGAGGGAAGCAGGGAAGGAAAAGGCAAGAAAAGGAAACCAGGCAGGAGCAAAAGAAGCACAGCAGCTGGCAGCATAGCAGCGGCAAGGGCTCAACAAAACACTCTGGCAAAAAGGCCTGGCGGCCAGGAGGGTAACCCGTCATGAAACCACCTGAGCCTTGCGCTTCCACTTACGAGACACTTGCACGGAACCTGCGCGAACCCTTACAAAGCAAACCGCAAAAACAACGTGTATGTCCTTTGGAGCAACCAACAACAACCCTCCACATATTTCAAAGGCACTGATGTTGGCACTGACGCTTCGAGCCACCAACCTTTTCGGGATGCAAATCCGTCTTGAGCGAACCTTGTGAACACTGCAGCTTTGACTTGCGCGGCCGCATGCTTGTTCAAACTTGAAATGCCGAATTCCAAGCGGCGGCCTACTAAGACTAACCGACACCCTGGGATCCCCGAATACATAGCAAGTGTGCGCCGTTGTTTTCCCCCACCCGACAGGAAGGGGTTGTTAGATTTTATGATGGAATCTGCGTTTGCGACGCTTCTACACCACGACCCCACCCAGTATCCCGCCAGAGCAGCTCGCCAGTGGATCCCGCAGAGTACCCCGCCAGACCGGCTCGCCAGTGGCTCCCGCCGAGTATCCCAGAGCTGCTCGGCAGTGGATCCCGCCGAGTATCCCGCCAGAGTAGCTCGCCAGTGGATCCCGCGGGTATCCCGCCAGAGCAGCCCGCCAGTGGATATTGCCGAGTATCCCGCCAGAGTAGCTCGCCAGTGGATCCCGCCAGTATCCCGCCAGAGCAGCTCGCCAGTCTGGTTTTGCTTCATGTCCAAAAGGGCCGATGGGAATTTGGAGTCGAAGTCTCTAGGATGCGGAGGAATTTGTTGTAGCGGTCGTAAGCTCGTGAGTGTGGAGGGTGGGGATTGCTCGAAGCGAAGCAACTTTTTCTAACTCAAATTGGGGGCCTGAAGTACTACCCGCTTTGTGGGTTTGATTGCGGGCAGGTTTCAACAACAAATATGTGAGAAACTATGAGTTTGGGGTAACTACACGGGGCAAAACGTAGTGAACGAGGGCCAGGCAACAAGACCGGGGCCCTGAAATAGTCTTGGGCTCACATGCTTTCTGCCCGAATTGGAGTCAATCACTCTGCTTGAAGCCTCGCCGGACTGAGCGGGTGCATCTTCCTGTCTCCTGAGCAACACAAGCTCATGATAGCATACTTCAAGTTGCTGTCGTCTCTATGTGTAAACAAATTGGCGTCCCCCCCACAAAAACAAAACAAGGTGGGGTTCTGTTCTCTGTTTGGTCTCCCTTTAAACCAAACCAACACGGTGTACCCTCAAAAGACACCGACCCTTGTGCAGGAGACGCCTCAAAGAACGGCAGTCGCCCTAATGGCTGAGGCCATGGCTCTCCAACTGAGTCAGGTCGCGAGTCCAGATCAGCTGGAACAACAGCTTCCTGCAAATACAAATACATGCGTACACGTATAATACATATATATATATATATGACTGCGTGAGAATCATTGTGGGTATACGCAATACACATAATATGATCTGCATACGAGCCAAGTGCTTTCGGAAGCCTGTCAGATTTCAGGCAAGAGGTTGAGAGGACATGATGGGCCTTTCCGGGCGCCTCATTGGACTCGTCTGCAACGGTGGACGCCGCCGATGCCACTTCCTGCAACTTGTTTGTTGAAACGGCTGCGTTGAAGGCCCTAGGTCAACTGGATGGCCGTCCTCCTCATTGCCCTCTCTGGACAGCGCTCGGGCACTGCGCGCCTAACACGGTGACTTGTTTAAGGCGTTTGGTCTTGTTGCAACACCTGCAGCTGACTTCATCCATTCCGAAATGTTCGGCGCTTAAGAAGGCAGCACAGCAATTCAAGGCCGAGCTTGTCTACGGAGAGGATGCTTAATGTGCGATGGGCGGCTTAGGGTGCGGCCACTTGGGCAAATACCTCGTGGACGTCCTCACAAGATCTGCTCGGAATGTCCGCAGCCTCAGATATCACTTGAGTTGCGCAACCACGCATTGCATGGGACGAACTTAATTCAGTCATGTTTGCAGGCGCATCTGATAGCTTTGCGCAACAGGCGCAGGTGTTGACCAGGTGAGGTTTTGATGCGTGTCCAAATCTAGTCTCAAGCTTGAGCACTAAAAACAGCAATATACAGCAATCTAGAATCTAGAGATTGGACATATTCCCTGGACTGATTCGGGCCCCTCACAATGGCATCAACCGTAAACACTCGTGATCAGAAACTGATGGGTATCCGATGCCTGAGCTCGCAGCGCCGATGTCCCTGCTGTCAGTGTTCAAAGGCGAAGCTGGTCTCCGAAGCATGTCAGTGATGGTGAATCCTGCCGCAGAGTAGAACCAACAGGGCCAACTTGGCGCCAAAATTGAGGCGCAAGCCACCCGCGATACAAACCAATAGGCACATTGGATCTACAAATAGACCGAGCCTGGCTGAGAAGAACTTGAGGGCTCAGGCGGAAGCAGGTCCTCCACCTGCAAATAAGCTGTGCTTCACGCCTTCATGCCTGCGGCTGCTAGATGAACAAAATGCACCAACTAACGAAGGCCATGCCCGTTCGTCGTCCCTAAAAACGTATTTCTATCCGCAAAACATCATGGCCCACTCCCCTGTTGGGGTCAACTGAGCGCCCACTCGTGCCAAAACGTCGCCTCCCGCCTCCCCTCGCAAGGTGCCCCGCAACTGCAGGCGCTTCCAAATGTTGGGGTTCTCCTGAGCGCTCCGGAGGCTTTGGCTACCACAAACAATTACAAATGACAGCCCGCGACCCTCTAAAAAATGTGCCGAAGTAAGAAAGGACAGAGTCCCTCTGGAAGTTCTGTTGGCTTTGATTGGAAAACCCACCATGAGAAACACTGGCATAATATCAAATCATAGTGCGTACCTAGAGCCTCC